TCCATAAGGCTCAGCCTCTGATAGAGCCTCATGTGTTATGTGAGTTGGGTGAGGCAGAGTTTCACAGAGTCACCAGGGTGGGATGAATAGTATTCACCAAGTTAATGTAGATTCTGGTTTGGTGCCAGTGCTGAGCCTGGAGTTACTCAGCAAAAGTCTCAGAGGACATGAATGCCAGCTGCCACTTGCCTGGTGACCATGGATCCCTGAGAGTCGTCCAAAAAAGAGTGCAATGTGGGCAGGGCTGGTTGCAAGCTGAGAAAATGCCTCTGGCATTGCTTGAGTTTGGTGGGGGTGGAGTCCCAGGTAGTCACCAGGGTGAAGTGAGTGGAGCTTACCAGGCCAATGCATGTTTAGATTTGACTGTGTTGGGAAGGGCTCAACACAGGAAAGATGGCACTCACCTGCCAGCTGAACAGGAGGAGGAAAATGGTGACTCTCTCGCTTGAAGTCACAAAACCCACTCTCTCCCCTTATGTCTCCGATGCCTCTCAAGTCACTATCCCTCCGCTGGTCCCAGGGTGAGTGCCTGCAAGCGAGTCTGTGAGCGGGACTTTTAAGGGGGCATCTAGGTTTCCTGCAGCCTTCTGTCCCATCCAATCAGTTGGAATTCCCACTATTTTTCACAGCCAGAATCCGTGGGGGCCCTCTTCCTGGCACAAGTACTACAGGCTGGGGAACCTGGTGTGGGCCTGGGGTCCCTCGCTCCTCTGTGGGGAAACTCTGTGGCTGAGATATCCCTCCCAATTCTCAACTGCCACGTGGAGGTGTGGGGCTGGCCTGTTCCACATCTCTGCCTCTCCCACCAGTCTCAACATGAGTTCTTCTTTATATCTTTTGTTATAAAACTTTTGTTCAGCTAGACTTCAGACAGTTCTCCAGGTTGATTATTCTATAATTTAGCTGTAATTTAATGTGGTCACTGGAAAAGGCAAGCACAGTGTTTACCTACTACTTCTACATCTTGGATTCTTCCTTGATCAGCTTCCAGCTTTCTTTACAATTCTAATGCCTAGGTTCCAGACATACCCATCTTCATGCACCTATGGAGATGAGTGTTTATGAACATGTGCATGTGTTTGGGTGTGTATGTGGGTGTTTCACATATGTTAAAAAGTTGCTGAATAAATCCACTACAAGGTCATGAGAAAAGAAGTTGAAAATGATGCTGTGAATTAAGGCTTTCAAGTCAGATTTTTTATCATGCCACCTCTGCTAAAAATACCTCCAGTAGCTCTCTGAGGTCTAGAATGTAAGGGTGAAACTCCTGGCCCAGTGTGCAAAATCCTCCACAACCTGTCCCTGCTTCTGGCCTCAGACTCTCTTGCTCTTTAAAAACAATCTTCTGCTCCAATCAAACTATTCTTCTCATCGTCATTCTTCATCTTAAACCTGGCAGTTCCCTACTTGAAACCTTCCAATGGCTACCATTACACTTAGCAAAACTTGATATGCTTTCCATGGAGACCTCACGGGATTGGCCCCACCCATCTCTCTGAGAACATCTTTAACCACTTTCTCCCTTGTTTGAATCTCTGCCACAATGTCCCTTTCCCTGCTTCTTGAAAGTGTGGAATTCTTTCCTGTCCCAAGGCTTTGGTTTATATTATGCAGTCTGTCTCAACTTGTCTTTTCTCAGACTTTGGCATGGCTGGTGCCTTCTTGTTATTTGAATCTGAGTTCCATTCTGATCACCCAGTCTGAAGTAGCACCTTCATCATGCTCTCTTGTATCACCCCATTTCATTCCATCTATAGCACTCATTACTATCTGACATGGATTCTTGTTCATCTTTTTAGTTGCTTTGTCCATTAGCAACTAAAGTTCTGTGATGTCAGCGACGTTACTTTCAACTTAACCACTATATCCCTGGGGCTAGAAAGGTGCCTACCCCAGAGTAAATGCCCGATAAGTATTTGTTGAATGGCTGAAGAAGGCTCTTCTGTGTCTCCAATGTTAACAACCCTGTTCCTGTCCCACTGTGATTGCCCTTCTTCCCTTTTTATCTAACACCAAAAAGCAACATCAAACCTCCCTCCTCTCCTTTATCTTAACCCTCCATCAGGCACAACTGATCTCACAGATTCATTGCACACAAATTTTCAAATATGAAATACGTCTTTATTGTACTAAGTCACAAACACGACTGACAATAGCTTACGATACAGGAGGAAGATATGGAAGTGATGAATCATGATACTTAAGTTAACTGTTAGATATTTGAAAATTTGTGTGCAACGAATCTGTGAGATCAGTTGCGCCCGATGGAGGATTAATTCCCAAAACACCTATAGATCAAACCAATCACTTCTTTACTTTTCATTTAATAAATCAGGAATCAAGAAACTAGTCTCTTATCTGCCACTAATAATTGGTTGTCTTTTCAATGTTTGTGTCTAATTTTCCAATTAGGTAATAAGCTCCCGGAGGTTAGAATAGTTAGTTGTATCCCCTACAATGCTCAGTATGAATGACAACTTGTTCTTTGCAGGCGTTAATAAATGATTGACTGATTACCTAAAATACTTTAAATGAACATTCGTGATTCATTCATTCATTCATTCATTCATTCATTCATTCATTCATTCACCCAGTAGGTATTGAACATCTGCCTTGCACCAGGCACTATGCGAAGTGGTAGAGGCATGGTGGAAAACAAGATCTACAAGTTTTCTTACTCAAGGGGTTTATGGTTAATAAGAGAGACAATTAACATGTGATTAAATATTTACCATTGTGAGAAGCATAGAACAGGGGTATTAGCTTTATTTTGGGGAAAGGGATCAAAGAAGGCCCGAAGGGACATCTAGCCCTGAAAGATAAGTAGGAGTTAATTCCATGAGAATTGGTAATGGAGGAGGGCAGGCTGGGGAAAGAGAGACTGGACAGAGGCTCTTCTTATGGCTGCTTTCACTTAGGGGAAAACTGACGCAGGGATTGCTTTTAGGGGTCCACAGTTTGTTCACAACCTTACTTTGTCCCTTAAAAAAGGAAAACCAGTGAACACAACGAGCACAAGATTCTCATGTACAGGAGCAGGAACGCTGCCAATGAAAAACACAGATTGTGGTGTTTCAAAATACTTATAGGAATAAATCCTTCAGCATTGATATAAAATATAAGCATTTAATGTAGAAGAACAGCTTTAGAGTACTATAATCGGATTATGGTATTAGGATTGGATGATATTAAAGTACTTCAGATTAAGGGAACCAAATATGTTCATTTCTGGGCAACTGAAAACTGACCTTGAATGGCTTTCAAGAGTGTTTTCAAACTTGTTTCAGCCAGGGAACCTTTTGTTTGAATGAAATCTTATGAAGTGTGAACAAATTAAACAAAAAGGTTACTGCTCAGCTGAGTGGGCTGTGGCGTGAGGCCTGCAGTTCTCTGGTTTTCTCTCCTTCAGAAAGCCCCCAGGCTCTGGAGCTCAGTCTAAAAATCATTCACTGCAGAGTGAACAAAGGCTTGTCCTAGGTAAGATGCTTTCTCCGCCAAGTGTTTCTCTCAGATTTCATTCAAGACAATGGAAAAAGCAGCCACTGCTTTTTTTCTTTTCTAAAGCAAAAGGAAGACTAGATTTCTTCACTTTAAAATGGATTGTTCTGGTGGGTGAGAGAAACTCAAGTCTATTGACTCAGGTGCCTGTATGTTTGTTATGAAAAAGTCTTATGAGTTACATCAAAGAACCATATTGCTCAATGACAGAATTAACATTGGAAATGATTCTGTCCTTTCCCACAACTCAAACAAATCTATCTCTGGGAAAAGACCTGTTAACGAATCTTGCTCACTGATGTAAATGGAAAAGTACTGGCCACTACTTCTGTGTCCCTGGTGTGCTGCCGTCTGTTGTGAGCCCTTCCAAAGCCAAAGACGGAACACATGTAAGCAAACCAACAGTGGAGCACTTTTTAGGACCCTTGGATTGGTCATTAAATGCCAATGTCCCAGACCCTCTATTCTCAACCTTTTTGACTATGAGGATTCTTCTCTTCCCTTCCCCTCCCAGCTCCAATTGTTCAGCCTTTGCTGAAACAGGTGGCTGCTGGGCTTATGGGAAGTTGGGTACCAGTGAGGACTTGGGCTGTGTGGGAGAGGGGTTCTCTCCCCCACAGGCTGGGGGAGTGCCTGAAAATCCATACCTTGAGAATTGTGAATCTGGAAGAGAGTTTGCTCCTTTGGAGTGTGAGTGAGGTGTAGAGAAAGTTTGACATTGGTGTGACTAGGAGGTCAGGATTGCCAAATGAGTCACCTGAATCCTTCGTGCTCCTGGGTCTGGACGAGTATGAGGAGCGGGCCTGGAGAGTAGAGCATCTGGCCAAAGAGAAGTATTCTCAAGCCTTAAGAATTTGAACTTGCGTGGGACCTGCCATCCCTTTCTTCTTTCCTATTTCTCCCTTTGGAATGGGAGTGTCTACTCTACGCTTATCCCACCATGTCTTTTGGAAGCACATAACATGTTTGGTTTCCTAGGCTCACAGTTGGAGAACAATTTGCCCATATATGAGAAGGACATGAATTTTGGAGGCTTAAGTGTGGAATGGTATGGTCTGAATGTTTTTTCCCCCCAAATTCATACGTTGAATCCTAACCCCCAAGGTGATGCTAGTAGGAGGTGTAGCCTTTGGGAGGTTATTAAGTCATGAGGGTAGAGACTTCCTATTTGGAATTAGTGACCTTATGAAAGAGACCCTAGGGAGTGCCCTTTCCCCTTCTACCAAATGAGGACACAGTGAGAAGGTAGCAGTCTGTGAACCAGGAAACAGGTGCTCACCAGACACCAAATCTGCTGGTACTTTGATCTTGGACTTCCTGGTCTCCAGAATTGTGAGAAATAAATGTTTGTTTTTTATAAGCCACCTAGTCTATGGTATTTTGTTATAGTCCCAAATGGACTAAGATAAGACCCCCATGATGTTGTAGATCTTCAGGATAAAGCAAGTAAAAATAATTTTGACTCTTTATTATACATTTTGGTGAAAATTTGCATCCTAAAACATAATCATGCAGTGATCTAAACTACAGAGAATAATTAAAACATGCTAAAATTATCCTTAACAATTGGGATCCAACTTATATTTTGCTCTGGTTTGAAAATTTTAAGATCAATCATAAACTCTTTCATTTTCTAAGGAAAACATACTATTAAGACACACGGATGGACCAAGGTGTAAATGTTGAAGGATCATCTCTGGGTATCTGAAAAAGATCAAAAGAAGGAAGATAGTTATTAATAAAACATTGTTACAGTGAACAAACGAAACAGAAACAAATTCACAGATACAGAGAACAAATCGATGGTTGCCGGATGGGAAGGGGTTTGGAAGGATGGGTGAAAAAGGTGAAGGAATTAAGAAGTAAAAATTGGCAATTACAACATAGTCATGAGGGTGTAAAGTACAGCATAGGAAATATAGTCAATAATATTGTAGTAACTATGTATGGTGTCAGGTGGGTACTAGACTTATTGGGGGGAATCACTTCATAATTTATATAAATGTCTAACCACTATGCTATACACCTAAAACTAATATAATATTGAATGTCAGTTGTAATTGAAAAAATAAAGAAAAAAACCCCAAAAAATTAGTAAATAAGTCAAGGAAGAAAATCTGTTTAATCATTGAAATAAAATAAAAGCCTCTGGAATTCACAGCCATTAAAAAATAAAAGGGGTCTGAATTCTGCTGGTGTGCCCATGGAACCTTTGGCCTCTATCCCTTTATCCTGTCTGGAACACAGTCATGACATCTGAGGCGCAGCCAGCATCTTGTAATCATGAGATTGAAAGCCTTACTCTCAGGAGAGTGGAACAGGAACAGGGAAGCAACCTGGGTCCCTGAAGGCATTACTGGACTGCCCTGGGCTCCAGAACTTCTTTTTGTTTCTGACAAATTTCTTTCTTGTTTAAAAAAATTAAAATGCTGTTATATGAAAAAAGTTGTAATTCAGAAGAAAAAAAATTTTTTTTTAAAGGAACAAGTCAATGTCCACTTTACCTAATCAAAATAATAATTTTCATGTTTCTTTCAGTCCTTGAGTCATAAATCTCCTTATTCTCATAAACTTATTATTTTGGGGATAAGATGCATCTTATTTGGAAGCCCTGTAATTTCAAAGGCATAAAGTACAATCCAATTTTATACCAGAAACTCATTTAGGGCTGCAGTAAGCAGTTGAATAGTCTCTGATGATAATTCCAGATATATTTTTAGTGGCTGGAAAATGTAACTATTTTCTATTAGTGTGTGCCCAGTGACTTGGCATTTTCATTTAAATTATTTTTATTAGTTTGCTTAACAGATACTTTCCAAATAATTGAACGGATCAGCTATCTATTTAATCTAATTTGGTTATTGAGGTAATTAAAATATCACATCAACTGCATTTTGACCAAATGTTTAAAGAAATAACCTACCATGTCCATTTGCCATTAACACTGACTGAACTGAGTGTGTTTTTCTTTGGGGTCAGAAACAATTAAACCATCATTTAAAGAGGTTCACTCACTTTGCAGTTGCTTTGAAGCATATAGGAAGAAGCAAGTGGAGGAAAAATGAGAATTTTCATTAGAAGAGATGAACCTGCCCTGTAATTTTTGTCCCGGTTATCGAATTTATGATGAGAACCCGAAAATCCATGTAAAGGAGATTACAACAGGAACCTCCCTTCATGGCCCTTACCATATCAGTAAACTGATCCATACAATGCATCCTAACCATCTCAGGAGTTGCTGGGCTATTCAGGGTGAAGTTCGTGGCCAACCCTCTTTCTCTTCGGGCAGCGGTCACTGCATCTTGTATGGCGGAAAACACGGAGAATCCCAAGAACACTCCAGCCTCACCCAGTCCCTGAGAAGGAGGGAAAAAGGCCATCAGAAATGCATGGTTCTTTTAGGACTAATTTGTGTTCACACACACACACATGCACTTGCACACGCACACATGCACGCTCACCTCTTCTGGCTTTATTACCCTTAGAGTGGAATGTGTCTGAATTGCCAGAATTGATTCCCTCCATGCCAATTGTGTGTGGGGTCCTTCTCAGGGTAGCTCATGAAAATGCCCAGGACATCAGGATAGCAGGGTTCCTCCACCCAGGTCAAGAAGACCAAAGCCCTTGGTGCCCTCTAGGGTACTCCAGCTTTGGTTTCAGACCATTTGTGTTTAACTCAAAACCACAACGAAAACACAATCTTTGTAGCTGAGCTTGAAAGACATTGAGGTGGTGGCCTCTGGTGTGTTTAAATTTTTACATGTGCCAGCTTCCCTGGTGTGGGTTGGATGCTTTTGAATTAACAGTGTGGGGGCATTGTATTCTAATTCTTGTATGATTTTTCTTCTTTCTTCCTTCAAAGTAGTCTGGTCTTTGGTCTGAGTCCAGGGCTTTAGAAGAGAGATGGGACGAAGTGCCCAAAGTACATAAAGATTATGCCAGGCTGTGCTTTTTGCTCTGAAGCAAATGTGGAGGGAAAGGTGGAGCTGGTGAAAGAAGTGGTTTCCTCTGAGGTGAGGAGGACAGGAGGTCTTGTGCCCTATTTGGAGCAGAGCTGTCAGGGAGGTGGCTAGGCCTCAAGTGGCAGGGTCCTGTCAGGACAGTCTTTAGAGATGTCCCTGGCCAAAATCTGGTGCACAAGTGGAGACAGAGGCCATTCACACCAGAACTCCTACCTTCCTTCCAACTTTGACCTACTCCTAAGAAAGAGGGAATTCCCTGAAAACCTGAGGTTAAAGATGCCATCTGTCTAGCTAGATATGGGCTCAGAACAACACTTACGTTGGAGAAGTTGTGTTTTTTGTATACTTGTGTTCAACAACCTTTCCCTTAAGTCTATATGGGCCAGTGAGACCCCACTGGTCACAGGAAGCATGGCTCAACACCTCTTGTATCAGTGGCTATTAACACCTCAGAGAAAATCAACCGCAGGGAGAAACTTGTTTGAAAGCCCATGCAGACTTGGGGAGGGTGTGAGGGGAGACAGTGTGAGAAAGAGAGAATGGAATCTGGAGGACATGTGGGAAGGGTGCACAAAAAAAGATTCTGAGCTGGTGAAATTTGCCTACAACTTCTGTTTTATCTCACGGTGGCACTTAACCTGATGCATCAAGATATTTGACTCCTCCTTGATGCATCTTGTTCGATTTAAATTTGTTCCATGATCTCTCTCAAGAGTGAAGGCTCCGCTTGGGCTTCTGAAGCCCGTGAGCACTGCTTTGTCATGAGCTTGCTTTTCTTTTCCCATCTCCCTTTGGGATCTGCAATTCCAAAGAGTAAGCAAATTCAGGGGACTGTTTCATTACTTCTTGAAGGAGTAGGTTGTTACGGCTGAACTGTGCCCCCTCCAATTCAAGTGCTGAAGTCCTAGCCTCTAGTACCCCAGTATGTGACCATATTTGGAGATAAGGTCTTTAGAGAGATGATTAAGTTAAAATGAAGTCTTTGGGGGTGTGCTTATAAGAAAAGGAAATTAGGTTACAGAGAGAGCGACATCAGACATGTGCACACACAGGAAGATGATCATGTGAGGACACAGTGAGAAGGTGGCTATCTGCAAGTCAAAAGGAGGCCTCAGAAGAAATCAAACCTTGATCTTGGGCTTCCAGCCTTCTGAACTGTGAGAAAATATACCTTTGTTGTTTAATTCACCCAGTCGAATATTTAGTTATGGCAGCCCTAGCAAACAAATGGAGAGATCTCAAGTTCTTACCTTGGATGAGTAGATGGCTATGGGATTTCGGGAATGCACTAAAGTGACATAGAACTCTTCTGGTATTTCAGTGACAGTGGGGATATAGTAGTCATCTGGACCCCGAGTATAAAGCACCCCTTCTGGGGAATACTTCAATTCTTCTGTGGTATATAATCCCATGCCTTGGATAAATCCTCCTTCAATCTACGGGCAAAATTTTCCCAGTTTATAAGCATATGATATTGATGAGATAAATATTCCCATGTGACCGAACACGGCTCTCTGAACCATAGCAAGCCCTTTTTGAAAGCACTGCGGCAGACTTCACAAAAGATCCTTCAGGATCTGGTGCCTGCCATCCTGCTTGGCCTCATCCCTAGCTCTTCTCGCCCAGCTATCCCGCATTCCAGGGATCTGACACTTGTCAAATTCCAGGTAGTCCTCCAAGCTCACCAAATACCTTCAGATCTCCAAGTCTTTGTAAAGGCAGTTGCTCCTGACTCTCTACACTGCTCCCCACCTCAGCTTGTTCACCTGGGAAACTCCTATTCATCCTCCCAAGTTCCAGCTGAAGAATAACTGCCTCTTTGGAGCCTTTGGAATCCTCCCACCTCCCCCTGGGTGAATTTAAGAACTGCTTCTTCCAGGCTCACTGCATTTGAACCCATTCCCCCATCAGGGCGGCACTCAGAGGGTATTTTCCTTGTTCAACTCCCTCACTTGCTCTTGTTTCACTCTCTCTCACTAATTTATAAGTATAGTGAAGCATGGCCTTCTTGTATCGTGTACTTAGCGTGGGGCCTGGTACATAAATTCTCAAGAAACTTCTGTTGAATTAGATGAAAAAGAAGCTAACATTAAAGGAACATGAACTCGAATAAATGGAACCAAGACACTATTTATTATAATATCTGGATTTTTTTTAACTTCCTTTTATAAATTACCATGGAGAGTAGATCAATGTTAAACAAGGTGGGTTGGAAGAAATATTTCTATTAAATTCAATGTTTTTTAATTAAAAGCCATGTTGAGTTCTAATTGCAAACTATTATGATCTTAGGAAAAAAGGTCTAAGGTCCTGTTTAAATGGGGTGTCTGCCTTGAGGTTAAAAAAATTGAAGGTAAGTTACAGTTTGCATTTTATTGAATTGTAAAATTACTGAATAGAGTAAATAAATTTAAATGCTGAATTTGGATATTTCCAAATGCTTGCCCCTAAAGGAAAAGGTTGAAGTCCAAGAGTTCCAGTCTAGCACACTTCTGGTTTTCTTTCCTTTTCCAATGGGACCAATGTAGGGTGTTCCTTATCATAACATCTATATTTTTGCCTTTGCTTAAGCAATAAAGAGGAAGGAACAAACTGGGAGGAGAGTATAGAAAGGGGAAGGGGAACTGGGGCCTGAGGCTAGCTGTGGTTCTCAAATTTTACAGACTTAAGATGAATTTCAGGTGCAAATTAAATGTGCAGATTACAAGTCCCAGCCCAGCAAAGTTATGATGGAGAAGTCTGCGCCTGGGCGGGCACAGGAATCCACATTTCCAATAAATATTATAGGTGCTTTTGTTGCAGAACCTGGGGACCACATTTTGAGAAACACTAAGGGAATAGTTAAAATTTTCCCCAGAAAACCCAATGGCCTAGGTAAACCAATCCCTTAGGATTTAGGAGAGGGGGAGTCTGGTGGTAGATGAAAGCACCACATGTCTGTCAGGTTTAATGCCAAGCTGCTCAATCTGTCCAGATACTCAGGTCTAGACTGTGGACCAGCTGCCTCACTTCACCTGGGAGCTGGTTGGCAGGTCTGGGGTGAGGTGATGCAGCTGGTCCGTTGGCCCCACTTTGAGTAACAAGGCTAGAAAAGAAAGCAAAGCTACACCAACAGCTGAAAAGATTGTAACTTAAAGTTTAAAAAGGCTTTGGGCGCATTAATTTTATTTATTTGTGAGATTAAAAACTCAGAAATTCAGTAAAGGGGAAAAATTGTGCTTAAGTATTTCTTTTTCCCTTATATTTCTCTAAATTGTTCAGTCTATTTAAATGCAATATTAATTTAAATACTAATGCAGTTTTACTATGTATTTATATAATGTTACCTAATTATAAACATTAATTTATTGTACATTAATTAATTAGAAGGCATGGAGAATTATAAAGCAGGATAACTCACACATATGCCTGCCACACAAAGACAACCATTGTTTACTTTTTTCTTGAATTTTCTTTCAATTTTTAATCTATTTTTTTTGTGTGTATGTAATATAATATATATTGCAGAATACTTGCACCAGGTATAAACAACATTTGGAGAACATTCTGAATGGAATTGACCAAAAGTCCCTGTGGAGTGGTCTGGTATCACGCACCTGCCCAATGTCCACGGCTGGATTTATGCTGAAAGCAGCATCCGTGAAGATGTCAGTCCTAAGGAGCTGTGCCAAGAGGAAATATATAATGGAAAATGTTATTTCTCTAAAATAGATCTTTACTACCTGTCCCTGGTTCTTCCACTGGCAGGATCGGGTGTTATTGTTTACAGCATAAAAAATGTGTCCATGTTCGTGTTCACACTATGAAGATGGTGAACACCAATGTCTCTCTTTACCTTGTAAGCCCCAGTCAGACAGTCGACTTCAACCTCAGAACAGGATGCTCCAAAAACAAAATATGGATAAGGATGACCTTCCCCCTTCTCCCAGTCCATATATGTCTGGTAGCCTCTGAGAAGAGAAATCAGGAGTGAAAGAAAAGGCACTTCTCCCCACAGTGGTCTGATCACCTGTGGTGCTCTGGGTCCTGGAGATGAACAGAGCTCCTACCCCATGGCTAAAGGCCTCCCTCCCCCTCTCCTGCAAGAGGGGCTGTGGTGATCGGAGCTACAAGAGTACCACTGTGGACATGGGGAAAAGGTCCATTGGTGTCTACCCTCTAGCACACAGTTACTGGGATGGGTCAGAATGTGTGTCCCTCCTGGTTGGTAAACAGCTGTGGCCCCAAGGAATCCCTGGCCCCTCCACCCCCAGGTCTCTCTCCCCACCCCTGGGATCCATGACTGAAGGGTTACCACCGGGAACAGCAGCACTGCAGTGCTCCCCAGGCATCTGTTCAGATTGATGAGCACACACCATCTCTGCCCAAGTATATTCTAAACCAAAGTAAAAACGTCCTTTACTTGAAATATCCAGTAGTTGACAGGCTGATGGATTCTTTGAAGGCTGTTGCAATCTGGAAGGGATGGTTGGTTACAAAGAAATATAAGTTTAGGGAAAGTCATGGAAAATTCCATGCTAAGCTTGCCTCCTCTTGTTCGCACCAAGCACTGCACCCACATTCACCTTGAGCGAGACTTACACCTTGTAAAAGCCATAGGTCATGCTTTTCAAGGGAGATACTTAAAGGCAGCTGCTAGCTGTGCTCTGGGACCCTCTGTTTTTTGGAGTTGCATGGTGTAAAGTTTATTATTTTTTCACAACTTTTGGCTTATTTAATTAAGGAGGGGGCTAGGCCATATTCACGTACTTATATACATAGGCATGTACACAGGTGGATGTTTATGTATATACAAATATACATACATACATATGTATACATATGTATGTGTGTACATGTATGTATGTATGTATATATTTTTAACTTGCTTTTCCCCAAATAATTTGATTGGTTGTCTCTGTATATTGTGTCAACTTTCCTGCTGGAGTAAACTGGGTAGGACTAGGAATAATAATACTAGTAATAATTGGAATAATTATTTAAAATAGAGTAATCGTCTTAAAAATAGAGTAATCTGCTATTATCTCCATTGCTCTGGTGAGAAGACCAAGGCCCTGAGCCACGGAGGAGAACAGGAACTGTTCTCCCACAGGAACTTGTGACAGAGCTGGGGCAGCGACACAGGGGTGTTTTTACTTTAGAGCCAATGCTGTTATGCTCTGTGAGAAATTAGGCTCTGAGATAAAGGCAAGTGTCAACAAACACAGACATCTCTTTCACTCTTTTGGAAAAGCAGAAGTAAATGTTAAGAAATGCTTTGTTTCTTGAATGGACACCACCAACCAGCCCATGCACTTGAATGGACACCACCAAGCAGGGCTTGTACCCAACAGGATGTGCTTGCCTTTTCCTGATGGGGATGATAAGGAGAACACTCACCCACTCCTCCCAACTTCCCTTAGGGTTTTTCCTGATGATTGGTTGAAGACGGGCCATAAGAATTTGGCAGGCATTCTGAAAATAAATATTTGAAATGGCATAAGATATGAAAGCCACAGGGAATAGCAAAATGTTAGTTATTTAAAAATCAATTCAAATGTCAAATGTCAATCAATTCAAATGTCAGTTTGTGAACCTGCTTCCCAGTCCTCAAGGCAGGTTCTTATACTTGAGTAATACATGGAACCTTTGAAAGAAGCAAGTATTCTTATGGATCCTGCAGTGTTAAAATTATTTTTATTATAATGTTGTTTAAGTACCTGTTAACATAAATCTAGGAAGAGTCTTCTTAGAGTTATATTCCTTTAATAGTGATAAAGCAAAAACAAAATGGCAAAGTGTGTAGACCAATCTATATATCAATAAAATTCAATATAACAACATTAATTTAGTTGATTGAGGATGTTTTCCTGGAGCTAAATTGCTGCTTGGAATATGGAAAACGTCTTAAATACTGTGGCATATGTACTTCGGAGTTCACCTTGCCTATTGCATGTCAGTTAAAGGATCAATTTCCTCTCTACTCTTCTTATTTAAATTGCCATTATATTTTCATTTGCACTTTATACCTTGCCATCATCTGCTCTCTCAAGAAAACATAATTTGTGTATAAAGTCTTGCCCTTGTTGCCTTGACACAAAATATACTTCTTGGTCCCAAATGGAGGCAAAGAGATCTCATGACATTATTCCACTGATAAAATGGTCATTCTGATTATGTAAAAAGTGCTTGTTTTAATTAAAATGAAAATTAAAATTATTGTGGTGAAATCTTGATCCCCTGAGATTATACCTGCCAACCCCTGGGTGGCAGTGGGCCGCAGCTTGGCTTCCCCTCTTAATTCAAACACAAATGTGTTTATATGTGTGCCCTTACGTATTTATCTCAGCCTTAGAACGCTCCTCAGGCCCTCTCTTCATTTCTGCTCCTTCTGTTCTGTCATCCCCTCTTTGGGATATGGCCTCTGGCTTCTCATGCATTAGTGAGATCCCAGTGTTCATAAATCTATCTTTGCTGGTTCATTCAGTTTTCAATCACTGACCTCATTACAAATGGATGCCTTCCCAAAGAGGGCCACTTCCAAGGCAAACCCAGTTCCTGCCTGTCCAAATATCAGATGTTCTTCCCCTTATTGTGCCCTGACCACAATACCCCTGTGCATAGCTTTACACTCAACAGTCTGACACTCTCCTGAGATAACTTTTCCCTTTAAGAAAGTGGGGTATCACAGAGAGTGTTTGTAATTCTTTTTTGTGACATCTTGAACTCCTTTCCTTGTGTGGAGAAATCTCTCACCTTATATTCCTTGGTAGGGTCGCCTCCCCCTATTGAATCCCCAGATGCCAGATACCAATTTGTCCAGCTGCCTTTGCATTATAGAAAAATTCAAAATGCACAAAGGTAGAGAGAATAGTACAATTCCCCCTTATACCCTTTGTCCAGCTTCAACAATGAGTTTTTACACCCCAACCTCACCCCCAGCTATCTGTCTTCCCTCTTCTCCCTCCTTACTCTCCTTTGCTTTTTCTGCTCCAGCCACCCTCACTTCCCTGCAGCTCCTCAAGCATAAGTGAGCTTCCTCTGCTCCCAAGTACCTACGTGGCTTCTTTCCTTGCTGCATTCAGGGCGAGGCTCACGGATCACCAGTCAGACCTGGTTTCCCTGCTGCCTAAGAGGGCAGCCCCAACTCTTACACTTTCTCTTTCCGTAACTTCCTTTTTGATTCATGACACCTGCCACTGCACTGTGTTTCTTTTTCTTTTTCTTTCTTAAATTCTAATTTATTTATTATTATTTAACGATCTATTATTTATTAATGAAATGTAGGCTAGGAAGCTGGGTGGGGGGAGGGGAGTAAGTGTCAGGAGATATGGAGAGAAGCCACCCCACCTTCTTTCTACCTGCAGGCCCAAACTGGGAAGTAGCAGAGACACTGCAATTTGAAGTACACTTTGGAATTTTGGACTGGACATTTCCATTATTGAAATGAGATCTTTTCTGCAAATAAAAGTGATCAAGGGATTTTTAATCATCTTAGAGTGATTAGAAAAATTATAGGTAGATTTTATTCAAGGGGAAGGCAGAAGGAGGCCACTGAGGGAGCTCCAACCACTTGGAGTCTCCGCTCTGCCTGTAATTAGCTGAGTGACCTAGAACTAGCCACTTGATTTCTCTTGGCCTCAGTGTTAGTTTCCATAAAAGAAGAGGTTGGACAAGGATTCTTCTAGCATTGTCACTAGGTAACTAAGAAATGAAAAAAAAGTCACCTGCACGGCCTTTCCGTTGATATCTGTTCCCATGGATGCCGCTGTGAAGCTGCCATTGGGAACCGTGACCGTGCTTGTTTCGGACAGGTGTATATACGATGAGGGGATATTCAGTTCTCGACTAGCCACCTGCCAGGTGCAGAAGAGAAATGTTATTTATTTCATCGACTCTAAGCCTCCCTTCCTCACCAGTTGAAAACTTTAAAATTCTTTTTTGAGCTGAGTATAGAACCTAGTGATCCTATAAAGACAAATATTTAAGATAGCATCTTAGGTCTTAGGCGTATATGTAGATTATAAATTTGAAGATTTTAGATGGCACTGTAAAAGATACATTGCTTTCCACAGCTATGTGGCCAACCAAGGAATCTTCTTGTGCTTTCTTTTATACCAGTTGGTATAAAATGGTCACTCTGGGACATCTAGTTTAGTATGGTACCTACGGGCAAGTTTGAAGTCCCAGTCTTTTTTTTAAAGATTTTTATTGGGGAATTGGGGGATGGGAACAGCCCTGGAGAATTAGGGGAAGGGGAACAGACAAGTTGCTGTCATTTTGTTCTTCAGTCTAGTTGTGGAGAACGTTGCTTCACTGGCCCAAGTTGGCACCATCATTGCGCTCTTCCCGGG